CACACACACACACACACACACACACACACACACACTCACTCTTCTCAATTCTAAATGGTTTTCATATGAATTTACTCTTCAGTCTAGTGACATGTCCAGTTAGAAGTCATCGGCCATTTTTTTATTTAAACTTTTCTCAGGTCGATGTTGTGTTTGTCCCTCTACAAAAGATTTAATCTCTTAAACCGAAAACAGAAACTGAGACCGATATCATCTAGACACAAACAAAGCAACTACATATTGTACAACCCAAGATGTGTATTGTGTCTCTAAACAGAGAAAGAATTACTGTAATTCTCTAATGGAAAATACATATGGTAGACCTGACACATTAACACAGTTTCAACCTAGCTGTCTTTACTGTTTACTCTGTAGTTAATAAAGCAGCTCTTGCTGAGGCCCTCAGTGAATGTGAATAAGGTTTTAAATAATAAATTAATGTTCACAAAATGTTAGTTTAACTTGTTGTACCACATTGTTTTCTAGTTGAGCCAGAGTAATGTTTTAAAAAGTGCCAATGTATACACTTTTTGGGGGAAACTAAACTTATCTACAGCACACTGGAACTGACATAGGGAAAAAAAAACGGTATTTCCTCCATGACTGAATTTCTAGCAAACAAAATTCTATTTTGCCCATATTATGGTTTTGTAGTCTAAACTATGATTTAAATAGAAAATGTTTATTTTGAGTCAATTAATTTAGCTAATCTCATCTCCCCTATTTGTGCATTTAAATTACATCTGTCATTATCTAACACTCACAATAATTTAATGACACTAATCATTTAATAACACTAATGATCAGCCATAACATGAAAATATGATATTGATGAACCCTTAATTAAAGGCACAATATGTAAGATATTTTTATTAAAATATCCAAAAACCACTAGAACAGTGTTATATATTTTGCTGACTTGTGTACTTACCGTATTGGCCCGAATATAAGACGACCCTGATTATAAGACGACCCCCCTTTTTCCAGATGTACCTTTTGGAAAAAGGCTTTTTAAAAAACAAATCTTGTTTTTTCTCAGTAAAACACATTTTGTCTTCAATTATTTTCATATTGCATATTTTTCCTATTTTAATTTTTGTTTTGAAAGTATGGTAAAAACTGGTAAAATGTACCAACAATCACATTTAAAAAATATACACTTTTTGATATACCATTAAAAAAAAAAAAAAAACATGTTATCCCATCTGAATTAGGTGTGCGTTTTAATAGACCGGTGACGACCGCACAGAGTAACATTATAACAGAACTTTCAAATGTATCTAGTATGATAAAACAGCACTGCTTTTTTTTCCCACATATGCACGACCGGAAGAAGCGGAAGCGGTCAACTGTGGCATAATAAAAGCTCCGCTGCTTTCGAGCCTTGTGTCACGCTCGTTCAGCGGCCTTGTTTCGCTTCGACGGCTTTCAGCCTCACCCTGCTTCATTCTACTATATTAATAAATCATTAGCTCATCCATGAACATGATTTCTGCCCGAATCTCGTCGGATTGCATCGGCTGTGGGGATGAAGACGACAACTCCCATGATTCCACACTCAGTCACGGCGTCATCAAACTACGCCTTTGCCTCTTTGTTTATTTTGAATATGCGCCCTCCAGCGGCGAAAATTACATATTGTGCCTTTAAGCTATCAAAGTGTTACCGGTTGTGATTACCAAATTGTTCCCCAATATCAATTTAAATCGGTTTGATACCTCTTGATATGAAATATATTTTGTGAACACATTTTATACTCATAACAGTTTTATAGTCATCTGTGTTGTTTTAGATATCACTGTGGGATAGTGTTGAATTTTAATAGTCATTTTTCTGTTATGATATTTTCAAGAGTTGTCATTTGAGATGATAATGAAGGCTTTTCTCATATTTGATTGTTTTTGACAACTCATCTCTGAATGTGTGAGATCAATTTCAGAGCTTTTCTCAACTCTCTGTCGAGATGTGTGAAGTTTAGCTTTAAAAAGTTGTCAGACTACGGTGTCTTTTGCTCCCGTTTGGATTTGTCATAGTTTAAGTACATGCCGCTCACCTCTGAACAATTGATCAATCAGTCAACTCAATCGCCAGTGGCACAGTTCAGCAGCTGACCCTGCTAGAGATTCACAAATTAATTATTGGTGTTTGCAAGCATATGCTCACAAAGCTTCTAACAGGTTTGTTTGCCCCCATTGTCTTAGGCTCATTACACTTGACTTTTTAAGACAACTGGGATGCTGGAATGAGAGAAAGGGGTCTTGCTTTTTTGAGAAATGAAATGGAAGTGAAAGGCACAAAGGAATCGCTTCATGTAACAGTGTGGCCTGTCACTGTGTTTGGGGTGTTTATTATATAATGAGGCATATGGAACTGTGGTTTATGCATGCGTGGGCAGCAGGAAATGATGCATTTGCAGTTCAGAGAACTATCCAGTTCAAAGGGAATTCTTAATCTCTCATAGTGCCATTGCAAGCAGTTTTGTACTCTTTGTTCCTTTCTGGAGCCAGAACTTTGAACCCTTTGTTTGCTGCCTGCTAAGTGGACCATAAAATATAGCATGCAACTGTTGGGACCTTAAAATCATATAGGGTGATTGTGTGTAATCGTGTGCATGTGGCGCATGTGATACTTCAGCCATCTGCTTTGTTTCTCCGAATAAATGTTTTTAATGGCTGCATGCGATATTTTTAGCTCCTGATAAACTGTTTCGCTTTAGTCAGGTGTAGCTGAGCGTAAAGAATTACAGCTTTTACCGGAAAACTCTTGGAGAAGAGAAATCTTCTGTTGCCGTAGCAACAGTCCCCCTCCCCCTTTTACCAAGTATTAGTTCAAGGTGCACAGAAAGAAAAAGTTTAAATCAGGCATACTAACTCAGCCAGACAATAGAGGCAGAAAGATGAAACAGGTGTATGTGTGTCCCGTTCCCCATTGAGTCTTCCAGCAGGCCATATACGCTAGAGACGTAGCGAGTGTGTTCAGGGTCTACTGGGACACATACACACACACACTGAAACTCTTCTGTTGTTCGGCATCGGCAGGCACTCTGGGTGGTTGTGTGAAATGATGATTTAGCTTCCTGATAAAGAATAATACTTGAAACACTTGAAAAGTTGTTCCCCTCTGAATACTGTCACATGCTGAGTGGCAGGCACCACAGTCTTACCTCCACTCCCGTCTGCAGGTGCATTTGAATTTAGACTTTAAAGGTTGATTTGAATGTCTTACCTTGAGGACTCTGCAGTAAAGTTTAGCTGGTATCATGCTGTTTTGCCTGTGGGTGGATGGATTTGAATTGGTTTCATGTACTTTTATGAACAACACATGCATGTAAGGGGTAATGTGCATCTAGACGGTTAATATCACATCACCTAAATGTATAAATATGTGTATTAAAATGAAAAGGAAAAAAAAGACCTGTTACAAATCAGCATATTAAATGATTTCTGTAGGATTCTCTGATACTAAAAACTGGACTAATGGCTGCTGAAAATTCAGATTTGCCATTGCAGGAATAAATTACATTCTAAAAGATATATAAAAAAAAAATTGTATTATTATTATTATTATTATTATTATAATGTATTCATTTTTGCCTATGTTTGAAATACTTTTTATGTATATATTTTATTGTTCTACTCTTGTACTCGACAGGTTTTGAGTCTTCAAATATGAAAGTCCTGTATAGAGGATCATTTTTTCAGTATTTTGTGAAACAATCAAAAAAATAAAATAAAAAATTCATGACAAAATACTATTAAACATGATATCATTTGAGATGGAATGAGAAATGACACATTTTGGTTCAGAGAAAAAAGCATGGTTTTAAAAAAGCAATGGCATTTTGTCTGAGATGCATGTACAGTAATCTCCCTCACACATTTAATGCTAGGAGAGCTTTGAATCAGAGTCTGTTTCATTGCAGATTAGCGCTGCCTGACACGCACAGAAGATGCCTGCTACAAGTTTGCTGAATGTTTACACACATAAATTAGGCATTTGGCTTTGCCCTATTTTCTTTACCTTCTCTTCTCATTTTCTCCTTTCTTTACATCAGTCACTTCGTTTCAGTTTGGATTTGTTGTGCTTTTGGTTCATTGTGACTTGTCTTCAAGGATAAAATGTCCCTGGGTTTATTTATACACACTGACACACTGATACAGACTGATTGCAGTGTGCGTGCATGTACAAGAGATGATATCTGATTATGGAAAACAGCTCTAGACATATGAATCATATCTCTGTATTGAGTATCTTAATTACACCCTTAATTTGTGATAGCTAATTGTCTTTTATAGGGGCAAATTGGGTCTTGCTCAACCCCCTCCTCTCCATAATCACTAAATGCACACTACAAACACAAACACACATATACGCATGCTTCAAATTAAACGCATACAGGTAGATACACTCATAATGGAAGAGCAGTTTCAGGGGAATAAAAATATTTTACATTACATTGATTTAATATGGTTCAATATGAATATATTGATTTTATCAGAATTGAATTATAAGATTGAACTGTTGCCATTTAGTTTGCAAGTGTCCTTAGGTTTTATTCCATAGAGATTTAAATTTAAAGGGGTCATATGACGTTGCTAAAAAGAACATCAAAAACATTCAAACCCATTACAAACGAGGCATTTGTTGCATCCAGTGGGGACATAATTACTGATTCTAATGACTTGTACTGTCTTTTTATGCGTTGCGTTGCGTATCGAGCCGCGTAATCATAAAACCAAAGCGGCCGGTGGGCTTGTGGCAACCACATGTGACGACCCCGGACTGGTGAAAGCTGATCCTGGGGGCGTGTTAGAATGAGCCGTTTTAGGAGGGCGTGGTTGACTTAACTTTTTTTTAAAGAATATCTCTTTGGATTTGAGTCTTTAGTCTTTGCTACTTTACAGACCTTCTTTATGCACCAAGAGCTTGTAACACTCCAAAGAGAAAGGAAAAATTTTAATCGCATCATATGACCCCTTTAACAATCTTTCTGCTTATTTTCTCTTCTTCCAGATGAGTAGCGTGAAGCGTCTGAGGCCCAGGCTGAACTCCATCCTGTTTAAGCTGCAGTTTGAAGAGCAAGTGAGTAACTTGCGTCCGGAAATCATGGCAGTGAACGCAGCCTGCGACGAGGTGAAGAAGAGCAAAGCCTTCAGCAGGCTGCTGGAACTCATTCTGCTCATGGGGAACTTCATGAACGCTGGCTCGCGGAACGCCCAGTCCTTTGGCTTTAACCTCAGCTCGCTCTGCAAGGTAAGTACAGAGAGAAAGAGCCCATATCTAAGATTCGGCACACTTTTTGTCCACATTTTGTCTGTGGAAACATTTACAAAGTCTGCAAAATGGATTGAAATTTGGTCAGATGTGTTCAATGGAGCTGTTTGTGGATAAAAGCATTGCCATATGCTAGCCTAAGCATTTCTAAAACAAGTGCTTTTAAACTTCTGAATCAAATACATGAGGTCTAGAAGCTGTTTTGGGCTGGTTTCCTAGAAACAGAGTAAGTGTAGTCCATAAGAACGTGTAGCATTTCATCCAGCAAAACCAGCCCTGAAGTCATTCATGTGATTTGCTATCCATATTTACTCATTTTGTGAATTATTAGCCTCTATTTATCTGTTTATCAGGTCTCTCCATGTTTGAAACACACCCGTGGGCATTTTTCATGAAACGCTCTCCTCCTGCTTTCTGTTTTTGGGAATAAGCCGATAAGATGATAATTTATGTTCCTCCAATGTCTGTGAAGGAGCCAAACTGAGTCACCATCAGGCACGAGTGCTTCACTCCCCTCCCGCACATTTCCCGTTACCTTGACCCCTATCGTCCGGCCCATCTAAAGTGCCTTTCGCTAAAAACGACTGCCGTTCGAGAAGATCTCATTTGATTTAACACTATCAAGCACTCAAGACCACAATAGCCGTATCTTCTGGCATCTATCAAAGTGCAGAGACCAAAAACCACTTTATGGCTTCTTCTTTTGTTTTTAGAGATAAGTTTCGGCATAGTGACGTAATGCAGACATACATATGCTTGTCGGTAAGAGGACAGTCTTTATATTCTGTTTAGTCAGGTGTGTTAATGTCACACTAATAAATTATGTCTGTATCCTTTTGCAAAGTTACACCCAGAACGCCTTAGCAGTCGTCTTCCCCCACGGGTAAAGCCCTCTAATGATAATGTTTGGGTAAAATTTTCAGATTTAGGTGAGTGGAAAAGGGCAGAAGGGGAGTATAGTTAATTACCACTGCAGCCATGCAGATTAACTAAGGTTTCCATGGTGACTTGGCATTGTTTTTTTTTATCAGGGTTGGTCCACCTCTCTCTTTTCTTTCTTATTAGCCATCCATTTTATTCATTACTCCTTTCACTATTTTTCCCTTCTGTGTGGTGTTAAAACTCAGAGAACGGCCATCACTGCATTTGTGAATCTCTCCAGGATAATGAATGCCTTTCTGCTCATCAAGTCTCCTAGCAGACCTGATAAAAGACAGAAGACTGTATGGGACATGGTCACATTCAGACGTTTTATAAAGGAATAACCCAAAAATGAAATGTCGGCCATTATTTTCCCACCGTCATGCTGTTTCAAACACAAAAGGAGAACCCTTGAAGAATGTTCACTGACATTTTTTCCACATATCATGTGAAGATGATCTAAAAAAAATCTGGGCCTCACACAAAGCTATTGTATAGCTTTGGAAGACTGAGAATAAGGAGCACAAGTCATACAGACTAGTTTTATTATGCTTAATATTTTATGATTTTCTGTTTTTTGAAACTTTTTTGGTGCAATATTTGAACCACAAAGTCTTTGCTGCTTATTTTAATCAATTTAATAATAATAATAATTCCTTACATTTATATAGCGCTTTTCTGGGCACTCAAAGCGCTTTACATAGAAGGGGGGAATCTCCTCAACCACCACCAGTGTGCAGCATCCACCTGGATGATGCGACGGCAGCCATAGTGCACCAGAACGCCCAACACACACCAGCTTATTGGTGGAGAGGAGACAGAGTGATGAAGCCAATCAGCAGATATGGGGATGTTAGGAGGCTATGATGGTCAGAGGCCAATGGGCGAATTTGGCCAGGATGCCGGGGTTACACCCCTACTCTTTTTCGAAGGACATCCTGGGATTTTTAATGACCACAGATAGTCAGGACCTCGGTTTAACGTCTCATCCGAAAGACGGTGCTTTTTGTCAGTATAGTGTCTCCGTCACTACACTGGGGTGTTAGGACCCACACAGACCACAGGTTGAGCACCCCCTGCTGGCGTCACTAACACCTCTTCCAGCAGCAACCTAGTTTTTCCCAGGAGGTCTCCCATCCAGGTACTGAACAGGCTCAACCCTGCTTAGCTTCAGTGGGCAACCAGTCTTGGGCTGCAGGGTGATATGGCTGCTAACGAATTTAATGCATTCTTGCAGAAATAAATACATGCATACATGAACACATTCATACTGACCCCAAACTTCTGAATGGTTGTATGTGTGTATGTTCATATATGTACAGTAACTGGTGATAGATAATATATACTGTACGGATATAAATCTTCAGCTCATTTATGTTGCATATCAACACTCGTCTTTGAACGTGTCCTTATACCCACTTAAGGGCCTCATGCATCAGAACTAATGGCGTGATCTGTCCTCACTGCAGAGAGAGAGAGAAAGACTACATCTCTACATCTGAACATAGTGATAGAGTCCCTGATGGGCAGGAGTAACAAAGAAAGTATGTTGTTTTCTGCCTTTCAAGTTCCTCGCCTGAGGGCCTGTGCTGATGTTCTCTCTCTGCCTCTGTTGATCTGATAGTTTGTTTATTTGTTTTATTCTGAGTTTAACCTGTCAGTATCTTCTTCTTTGGCTCACAGTGGGTTTATTGAGCATATTTAGTTGTCAAAGGATTTGAAAGCGCTTCCGTTTGAGCATGTGACTCGCGCGTCACTGTTTGATCTCATCAGCAGAGGACGGTTCAGTATGTCATGGACGTCAGAATCTCGATGAATGTTGTTGATTTTTTTTTTTTTAATTTTCCTGGAAACCTTTTCCGATTGAGAACCGATATTTATGATTTTTCACAGACATCAATGACTTGGACCACAGGATCAGATTAGATATTTTGGGTTTCTTTTTGTATTGTCATTTTCATACTTCACAGATGAAATCAGCACAAGCAATTTGTAGAATCTGGCCTTGTTTTTTCTTCTTTTTTTTTTTGAGAAGCCCTTTCAGGCAGAGCAGCACAACCTAATTCCATCCCCCGTCATCTGTCTAATGCTTCACACGGCTTCCAAATGTTCTGACACTGCAATTATCCAGTTGAACCCAGTGTGTATATCCAGCATAAAGCCTCTGTCAGAACACATACATTTAAAATAAATGGCAGAGTGCGAGATAGTGTTGAGTACTACAATGGACTAGATGGAAAGTCGATTTCTCCAATTTCATCTCTCATTTTCATTTTGAACTTCATTTTTACTTTATCTATATCTCTCATCTCATCCCCCCCTCCCCCCCAATGGTAATCAAGCGTCTTAAATCGTCAGGCACCACCACCCAGAAGAGCTTAATAATGTTTGCGCTCTCCGCATTAATCAAATGCTTTTTGCACTGACTTCTATAAAGGCCTGTATCCTTGTGCCACGATGATAATCATAACTGACAATAAAAATGTCTTGCTTTTCTAGTCCGGCGGCAATTTCAGTGTACTATCAAATTAACTTGTCAGACATGAAGGCGGTGGACGCCGATGGCTTCCTTCAAGAATCTCTCTCTCTGATTTCTCTCTATTTATGTAATGTTCTGAACATCTAAATATATATATTTTTTCTTTTTGATGGATTTTTTTTTTTTTCTTTTTTTCTATTCTGATTTAATGTTGATATCACATTAAACAATTGCTCTCCCAACCCACTTTTTCTTCTGTCTGTCTGCATCTCTATATCTTTCTTTGGCTCCCAGCTGAAGGACACTAAATCGGCTGATCAGAAGTCCACTCTACTTCACTTCCTGGCAGAGATCTGTGAGGAGAAATACCCTGAAGTAATGAAGTTTGTGGAGGATCTACAACATGTGGACCAGGCCAGTCGAGGTACTGCAAAGTATACACACAACGAGCCAGCATCTATTTAAAAATGGACAGAATTAACAGTTTAGTTTATTCTCCCTGGCTAACCATCTGAAAAGAAAGGGAAAAAGAGTCTTCAGTCCACTTTAATAGTTCTTTAATGTCACTCTCACAATGTACAGTTCATCAACTCTGTGTGTGTGTGTGAGTTTGTGTCGACTTCTGCGCAGGTTCATTTCACACTCTGTATCAGCAACAGAGATAATGTCAGCTTGTGTGTGTTTTGTGCACTCACAATTAAAAGACCAGTGAGTGTCAGATCTAAGGACCCTTCTATTGTAAATCTTAATCTGAACAGATCATGATCGGTAAGATGATATTTTCGACAGTCTATGTGTCAACTTGCCTGTGTGTTTTAGCAAACAGAGAAGCAGAGGAGCCATTGTGTGAGGTCACATTGCCCTTGGCAGCCCTAGAGGCAGAGTCACAACAGGACTAGACCAACTCACTACATTACCTAATGCTTCCAGAAAGCAAGACTGAGAGAGTTTTTGGCAGTGCGACCGCAAATAATCAAACAGCATTATTAGAGGGAGTGATTAAAAAGACGCCCTGCCTACGTGTATGTCTGGCAGCCTTAGAGAAAGTATTTCAAGACAACTGTGTTTTTCCAAATGAAACAAATAATGATGGAGGGCAGGACTTATGAGTTCAGATTTTATTGGATTGTTAGACTTGTTAGGCTGTAATATTATTGGTTAATGTTGTTTTCTGCCTTTGTAGTGTTGATTGCATCAGCTGAACATGAAAGTTTTTGAGACCGGGAATGTTATTACATTTTTATATTAGCTATTATGAAAAAAAAAAAAATGTAAGAGTAATGTGCTTTGAAGAATTATGCTCCGTAAGACCAGAGATATTTATTAAGACCTAGGTTAATTTTGATTCATGTTTGACTTTATGGTGAACTGTTAGCTAATTCTGACCAAAAGAATGTAAATTCTGTATTTTACTCACCATTGTGTGCTACAAATGCATATGGTGAATTTAGCAGAATATTTGCTCAGCTCTTTTCTATACAATGAAAATTCAGCTTTGTACATGACAAAAGGCACCATAAAAATGGTCCATGCAAGTTACTTTAGAGGAAATTTATAAGCTTTGTGACAGAAAAAGAGCAATTAGTCATTATTCACTTAAAATCTCATCACGCTTGCATATATTAGTAGTCAAACATGGTGCTTGATAGCTCATGATCACAAGTTAGTTTCAGTGTATGGAAATGAACAGATTGGATGTTCTTCAAAACATCTCCTTTTGTGTTCCAAGAGTTTTGTGTATTATAGTGAAAGTGTTATTACAATAGTAATATTTCTCTTTCTGTTTAATGTTTTTATGTAGTAATAATATTGAAACATTTATGTCCTGTTTGAGTGATACTAGTGGTTAATTGTTTTCGGAGATAGTAACAGATGTTTTATTCTTGTCACTACAATTATGTGGCCTGTGCTACAAACCTTTCAACCTCTGTAGCACCAGAGCTATATGCAAAAATGTTAACGTGCATCCCTGTCTCGTGAGTTACCTAGCTAGACAGCTTTTTTTGTTTTTTTTAGAAATGTATACTTTCCTTCAGCACGGACACGTTAAATTGGCTGCTGAAATGTCAGCTCTTCCATCACAGGAATAAATTACATTTAAAAAAAAAACTAAAAAAACAACAAAAAAAAACAAACATTTTTACTGTTTATACTGTATTTCTTTAATAAAGTGTGGCCTTGATGAGCATAAGAGACTTCCTGACCTCAAACTTTTGAACAGTACTGTACAAAGTGACACTTAACTCACAGTGGATAAATGAAGTCCTCCACAAATACATGCAAACATGTTCGTTTCTCTCAAGAGCTTGCAAATCACCAAAAGAACCAGTCTAATAAAATTGAACACATTGCTTTCAAGTATCCCTCTGAATGGGCATTTTGAGTGTAGGTTTACACTCACCAACCCCCTTACACCAAACACACAAACACACACTAACACTTAGCTCACTCTGCAGTCGCTTCTCAAGAGCATGAGTGATTTAAATAGTTTTGTTATTTGGCTTTAGTGTACATATAATATGTGCATCTGTGTATACTGTAACTGTAGGCTAGATTTAGTCATCACATACAGCTCTCACACAGCTATGCAGTTGCTAGGTGGTTATAAGTCAAAAGAGCATATATAACAACATTAGGAAGGTGCCAAATGAGTGATGTGCTGAAGTTATTTAGTTCCTGAATAAATGTACCATACAGATTGACAAATAGGTTTGTGTGTGTAGGCACTGGACTCTTGGGTCACACACAAAATGGCATTGCCAGCTGCTCTTGGCATAGTCCAATGAAACCAGATAGTGACATGTACCTCTATCTCTCTGTCTCTCTTTCTACATTGACTCCATGAGAGGGAGCTAGAGATGAGTTTGGTGGCTAAAGTGAGGTTTTTGTATTCAGCTTGTCTCTTCTGATTATGCATACATGCATTACGGATAAGCTTTTTGTTGTTCTGAATGCAAAATGTGTGCATTTCAACCCTTTAGGCCAAGATATGGGAAATGTATGAGATATTCACTTGTTAAAAGCTTCAAATTGTTCATCGTACATGTTAGAAATCATTAAGGACCAAAAGAAAAAAAACTTAACTAAGCAGATTAGCATTTCAGTAGTTTAACATTTACACAATTCCTCATGAAAATGCAATAAATAATATCCAGCTAAGCTGAGGATGTTTAAGCCAAATCTCCACACATGATGCTCAGTCAATGTGTCCCATCACATTTAGCTAACACTGTGCATGGAACGGGATCGTCCCCTCCAAACAGCGTCTGCTTAATCAAAACTGAGCCTCTTATTAAAGTCGCATAATTACCTCATCAAACTACCAGTGTGCGTGAGGAACAGATGAAAAATACAGACCTGGTTTGGTCTTACAGGAACTCTTGTACTAGTAATTAAACAAATATATATTTTTAAAAAATGATAGTTTCTGTGCTAATAGGATAACATTGAACCTTTTAGAAATTGTATGCTAAAGATGTTGTGTGTAATGTCTTTGCAACTAGGGCTAAAAACTTACCTCAATGTGTGATATTGATCAAATGTTGAGAATAATGACATCCACACAATCATTGCGGCAGGTGTTCATACATTTGACTACGCAGATTTTCACTTCAGTTTAAGACACTTCAGATGTGTAAAATGCCTTAGTTACTTTCCACACTAAAACTGATTGAAGTGCTAAATCAAAGGTTCCTGAGAATTTTTTTTGGTGTTATTATTTTATCAATAC